ACCATAAAAAGACGTAAATACCTTACTTATGTATATAAGAATTTCCATTTCTAGTTTTGAAAATCTAACTTCAGATTCGTAATCAGCGACCCAAAAAACCCCTAGATACCAAGTTTGAAGTAAATCCATCAATTTTTACAAAATTCGTCCGCCATATTGGAGCCGCCATTTTGAATTTTGAAAATCTAACTTCAAATTCTTCATCAGCGACCCAAAAAACCCCTAGATACCAAGTTTGAAGTAAATCCATCAATTTTTACAAAATTTGTCCGCCATATTGGAGCCGCCATTTTGAATTTTGAAAATCTAACTTCAAATTCTTCATCAGCGACCCAAAAAACCCCTAGATACCAAATTTGAAGTAAATCCATCAATTTTTTAAAAAAATAGCCTACCTCTCAAAATCCGACAGGTTTTTGGAGGTTAGAAAAAAATCCTGACGTAATGGAGCAAAACGGACTTCGGATTCGTGTTCAGCGCGTCAAAATTCATGGGAAATGACTAGTCTGGTCTGCCGCGCACGACACTTTTTTTTGTGGGGCTGTGTAATAAATTCGTGATTAGATCGAAAAATTAAGCTTTTTTTATATTAAGTATACGCTTGCGAATAAAACTTACCAAACTTCCGCTCTCTATTTAATAATATGTGGACTACAAGATAGATATGCACATTTTCAAATTTGTAATTTTTAACACACATATAAGCGGCACAAGGATCATGAAACCATTTTTCACCATTAAAAAGGTTATAGCGGAAATAGAATTAACACTAGAAAGTAAATGAAACTTGGCCCACTAATAGATAAATGTTTGACAATTATGTAGCTTAATTTTTGAGACCTCTAGGTTTTTGTGAAAAAAGTTATAAGGGTTTGTACCCAGCAAATTAAATCATAAAATAATGGCTTCTGTTTTGATTAGTTTAGTCAATCCCTATGACCTTGTTAAGGGTATGTGGGAACCTTCCACGTGACCTAGTATAGGAAAATGTGTTTTGGTAGTATACGTCTTACGCTAAAATGAATAAAGATTTTTTGTCTAAAATTTTGAGAGATAATAAATTTGGGTTCAAGGAATCTCGCTGTTCTCCGAAAAATACATAATTTTGTGTTAAATTATTAAAAAATGAAGATTAAAAAGTGACATTGTTAAACTTAAATGAAAACAAACATGGCGGCGCATACACAGACGTTGCTTAAGTGTGTCAGTGCTCCAGTACACAGCGCCAATTCGAACAAGTGGCCGCTGAATGAACTATAATATAATACATTATTTTACTATTTATTGCTTTATTTTTATTATTTTTGCGTTGTTATAGTAAATGTGAAAAAAAGTCAGATTTCTTGCACCAAACGAAATCATTTTTCCAAAATTTTAACCCGAAATCATTTTTTATTTTAGAGAAAGTTTCAAACAAAAAAAAACGTCCTTTTCCCACATACCCTTAAATGACCTAGGCCTGCAGATTTTCCCGATTCACAACCCCTGAAAACAACGCTTAAATAACATTTTTTTAAATAACGTAATATCTCTAGTCGTATTTATCACGCCAAATTGATGTAGTAGTGAAGAGCGAGAGTAGGACTAATACAATTTTCTGAAACTAATGAAAATATTTCATTGTCTTTTTTGGTAATCCGCAATTTAAGAAACTAAAAATTCAGAAAAATTATTCTATTTGTCCACCGCGACGTGATATTTGGGAGTTTGGAACTAATTCCAGATTTCAAACCTTTATAAAAAATATGACTTTAATTAATATTAATTGTTAATAATCATTATGTGGGATGGGCGAAAATAAACCAACTGTACTCACTTGACGATTGGTTATTAGAAAAAGAACTAGCTACACTTAAATCAGACTCATATGATTTATTCATTAATCACGATGAGGTAGAAGACGATTTTGAGGACGAATTTGAGGATGAACTTGTAAGAGCCCCAGGAGCATAACAGCTCAGTATTGTAAATATCATAAATAACTTTTTTTTCTTTATAAACAAATAAATTTATTCATAAATTAAGAAATTCATTCGTTTAGAGGGGCATTGCGGAGTAAAATTTTGCAAATTTTTCTTTAAAAAAAATTAATTTTTTTATAAAATTATTTTTACTTGCTCTCTTTTTGCCAATTGAAATTAAAATTTTTTTTTAAAACAAATAAAAATTTTTTTACGTTAAAAAAATTTATTTGTTTAAGAGGGCATTGAAATGGTATTTCAATAGTCAAAAAATTTTATTATAAAATAATTGTAAATTATTTGAAAATTAGGAATTGATAAATATTAAAAATATAATTACATTAAGAAATTAAATTAAAACTAGATAAATCGAATTTCTGAAAGTTATAGAAAGTGAGTGAAGACAGCTATAGATAACACAATGTAAATATAAACAAGAAAAATAATAGAAGGAGAGGGTAAAGATAAAGAGAATAAAGAGAATTATTAATTTAATTTAAACTTCCCGTGTGGAAAAGTGATGGGGGCCTCCAGCGGGGGCCCTTATGGATCGCCCTCATGGCATGAGGGGCGCATATGGGTGATCCATAGGGGCCTCTCATGGAAACGACATGCTCATCGATGAGGGCGCCCGCATGGGCCCTCACGTTTACCCTCAAGTTTGCCTTAATTTTTTTAATCAACAATATTAATAATAAAAGTTAATTAATAATACATAAGCTTCAATTATGAATAAAAAACATATTTATTTACTAATTCTTCTATTTTTAAATAAAATTCTTGCTCAAATTGAAATTATTAATTAACGTTCTAATTAATTAACTGTCGGATATAGATTAAAAGTAATAATAAACTTAGAAAATTTTGCTAATCGATCATGAGGGCGATCCATGTAGGCCCCTACGTTGGTCCTTGTGCATTCGCCATATGCATCAGCCCTCATGGGCCCTCGCCGGGGGCCCGAAGTCTTAAGGGCAAGATCGTGGCTTTTTCCACACGGGTTAAAGATTTTTTTTAAAATAAAGAAGTTTTACAGATTACTATTAAAAGAATAAATTTATTTTATATTTTTTAAATATTTGGAAAATAAAATAATAAAAATTATTTTATTTAATTGCTAAAATTAATAATAATTAAATAAAATTATATGTTATATTAAAGTAAAAATTATTTAAAAATTAATGGTAAAAGTTAAATAATTTTAAAGTTACTTTTTTTGAGAAATTAAAGATTTTAGAAAATAAAAGTCAGTTAAAGGAACATGATTGACAGGTGGACAATGCGGCATTGTTTTCGGCGAGCGTTAGAAACGGAATTAGAGAGAGAAAAATATCTCTGTCCTTAGAAAATAATTTAAATGTAATTGGCTATCCGAAAATAGACGCCGCGAAAAATATAAATTGAGGGAGAAGTTGGCGGTAAGAAATATATGGGAGAAGCGCCCTGCGTAAAGTGGTGAGGGAAACTCGCGGGTTTTCGCTCAATCAATTTAAAATTCCTTACTCACACCAGGATCCCTAAGGTGCAGGTTTTTACATAAAGCACGGCTTCTCAAAATCAAAACAATAATAAAACTGCAATGGCTTCAAAAGTTAATATTGCAGTAACAACGTCGGAACACTTATGCAACAGCTATGCAGATGCATTTTGTTACATATGTGGACAATTCTATGTCCCCAAAAATCGTAAATAAGTCAATAAAAATCTCAAACAGATATACAAAGATTGTTTTCATCTTGAGATAACCAATCAGGATAAAAATTAAGTTCCACACAAAATTTGCAGTTTCTGTTACACAATTTTAAGTCGTTAGAATCATACTAAAGAGGATAAACTAAAGATTATAAAGCCAACTTTGTGGGAAAAACCATTAAATCAAGGAGATTGTTATTTTTGCAACACCAATGTACAAGGATATAATAAAAAAGTTAAAAAGAACATATTGTATGCCAACGTCCCAACTGTAAAAAAACAAGAAATTTTATGCAATCTACCTTCCTCTCTCAAAATCTTGCAAATTGACAGTTCAACTGAATATGTTCTAGATTTTATAAATAACGACATGAGAACCGATGATGAGAACGATTATTACCTTCCGTATGATGAACAGGAGAAAAAGATTCCACAAACATTTAACCAAAAAGAACTTAGCAATCTCATTAGAGATTTAAAATTAGCTATTTATCCGAATCTTCTTTAGTAATTTTGATTAATTAATTTGCATGAAATATAATTCAGTATTTTTGTTTTAAAATTGACAATTTTCAAGGTTGCAGGCTATCTTTCGCGAAAAGGCAGAATAATTTTCAAAATCATTATGATAGAATTCTTTTCGAGTTAGTAATAGTTGGTTGGTAAGTTTAAGCAGCGCAATGAACTTATATCATTCTTCGATATAGGAAAAAATTTGACATAGAATTTTCTAATTATTTACAGCAAAAAAAAAAGATTATTTTGAATAATAATAAATAATATTAATAACATATACTTAAAAATTCTAATTAAGAGAAAATGTAAAAGAATAGTATATTTCGATACAAGGGGCCAAACGAGCGTTTTGCTCATTACAAGTGGAAGGGCGTGGCAAGAACTCAATGCGAGGCAAAGCCGAGCTTTGAGTTCGAGCCACGAAGCGCGGACGATGAGCAAAATGTTTTGGCCACCGCTTAACGGTGAGCAAAATACTTTGCTCATCGTCCGCGCTTACGGTGAGGGATTAGACTATTTTGGATAGCTGAAAGTGGTTGCCAAACGAGGTTTTTGCATGCACGTATAAAGAAAAACTTATTTTTTGCAATGTTTTTTTTTCATATTTTCTCGCAAACCCAATGTTGTCCCATTTTTATTTTTATACAGTTCTGATGGAAAAAATGTCAGCTTTAAATTTTTTTTTATTTTTAAAGAATAAGGGTTTTAAAATTAAAAATAAGGGTTAGTTTTAAAAAAAATTGGGGTAAACATTATTTTTTGGCATTGAAAAGTGCATGAAAACCCCCAACAAAAAACCATATTGACAAATTGTAAAGTTTTTATATTTACCTGTGGTATGAGCGATACATGAGCGCAGCAAAAATTTTCTTTTTTTACACGAAACTGAAACTGCCTAAAAGCTTCGACAAAGGGCATTCCTTCGATATCTCCAATGGTCCCACCGAGTTCGATAATACAAACCTTAAACATCAAATTATGTATATATATTATTATTATTATAGTATAATAATCTTTGTATTCATTCTGTCATTCATTCACATATTCTTAGTACTTGAATTTTCTCATTATTATTAGATTATATATACATATATATATTTACTTTGATAATTAGGGTTCTCGACGGTTTCTACCTGAAATTTTTGTTGTCCAAACAGCTTTTGGTTGAGGGTTCATAAGATGGTCGATGACCTTTTTAATACTGTAATGAAAGGGGTCGCTGAAACAGTATATGACCATGAAAATTTTTTTTGACGACCCATTTTCCCGCAACCACCCCCTTGCACCTACTCACGGGGGTTGGAGTTTCAAAAAAAAAAATCGAGTAGTGTGTCAATTCCAATGTTTTTTGGGTCGCTTAATCCGAAAAATACCACTAAAAACAAATCCTTAACCCCCTACAACCCCTGGGAGGGGGTTAGAATTTCATTGTTCACGAAAAGTCGAGTACGGTGTTTAATCCTATGTTTTTTGGGCCGCTTAATCCGAAAAATACCACTAAAAACAAAAAAATCGAGTAGTGTGTCAATTCCAATGTTTTTTGGGTCGCTTAATCCGAAAAATACCACTAAAAACAAATCCTTAACCCCCTACAACCCCCTGAGAAGGGGTTGGAATTTCAATTTTTACAAAAAGTCGAGTACGGTATCTATTCCTATGTTTTTTTGGTCGCTGAAATCAAAAAACACCAACAAAAACACATTCTTTACCCTTTTAACCCCCTACAACCCCTGGAGGGGGTTGGAATTTCATTTTTCACGAAAAGTCGAGTACGGTGTCTAATCTTATGTTTTTTGGGTCGCTGAAACCAAAAAACATCACCAACAATAAAGTTTTCTAGAAAGTTACCTATGATTACACAAATACGCACCTACAAAGTCTTAAGGAAATTTATTTTTCTACACTTAGCGCCGTGAAAATGATATTCCAACCCCCTCCCAGGGGTTCTAGCGGGTTAAGGGGGTAAATAATTTGTTTTTGGTGGTGTTTTTTGATTTCAGCGCCCCAAGAAACGTAGGATTAGACACCGAACTTGACTTTTTGAGAAATTTGAAATTTTAACCCCCTCCCAGAGGGTTGTACGGGGTTAAGGAAAGAAAGGATTTGTTTTCAATGGTGTTTTTGGGATGAAGCGACCCAAAAAAACATTGGAATTGACACCATACTCAATTTTTTTTTAATTTGAAACTCCAACCCCCGTGAGTAGGTGCAAGGGGTGGTTGCGGGAAAATGGGTCGTCAAAAAAATTGTTAATGGTCTTATTCGGTTTCAGCGACCCCAAAAACATAGGAATATGGGGTTGTGTTTTTTGGGAACTGAATTTTTTTTTGTGCCTGTGTTATTATTGGAGCAATATATGATCGTAATCGTGAACTTCTGAGGAAAACGAATATGTCAAAATAAATTAAACAGTGTTTATATTTAAAAATTTTATAATTTTTTTGAAAAACTCATTAAGCGTCATAAAATAATATTGTCATTAAGCCCGAGAACGTCATACAGGCCCCCGCTGTAATTGACTTACTCGAGGTCTGAGCCCGGGACAGGCCGATAGGGTGAGGATATACCACTTCCCTTTTCAGGACCCAATCCGTGATCGCTCGATTCGTCCTAACAGTCTTGGGTTGAGGGAAATTTTTTTTATTATTGTATATGCGATATAGATGATAACCGTTTAATCCCAGTGAGTGGAAGTGGTGTATTCATACTTAACTTACCAACACCTATCCCCGAGGATGCCACTCAGGCCTACCGTAATATCTGCCACTCGCGAGAACTTAATATAGGCCCAGATTGGTAGAGTGGGGGTATAACACTTCTCCTCAATGGAGTGAAACGGCTACTGCTGATGTAAGATAAACATAGAGCAACCGACTACCGTTTCAACAACATTGTAGTAGTGTTGCTAAAAAAAGATTCTAATAGTCTCAGGTAACTTAACTTAATTATTATAAAGTTTATAATATTTTTCTGCAATTTGTCGATCAATAACTTACTGCAGGTGTTGAATCTTCTTATATTATATTTGTCTTTTTCATTTTTGTATTGGGCCCAAAAAATATATTCCTATTTTTGTATAGTATTAATAATTATATATGTATTTTAAAGATAAATATGGATATGGCATGATATTGGTATTGAAGATATTTGTTTCTTTTGGTTGTCTTAAATGTTTCATATAAAAAATACTTCAATCCATTTAGTTTTTTTGGTATTAAATAACATTGGCATTAAAGATATTACGATTTTGAGGATAAAGAAAGATATTGGATAACATTAGTATTGAATATATTTTAATAATGCAACAAAAATATTGATTGTTTTATAATAGTGGAAGCTGTCTTTTGGAAAAATTTTTTGGTATTGGGTAATTTTGGCATTAAAGATATTTGGATTTTGAGGATAATAAAATATGATATTGGATAACATTGGCATTGAATATATTTCGATATTGAAAAAAAAATATTGACTGTTTGAGAATAGAGGATGCTGGCTTTTGGAAAAGTATTTAAATAGATAGAAAGAGGTTTGAATATTGTTTTAAGGGTTAAATAATAGTTTGTGAGTTGAATATTGATTTGAATATTAATAAAAAGTGCAGAGGAAAACAAGTTCAATAATAATCATTATCGAAAATGATGTAATGTGGAAAAAGATTAAACAACGCTAATTTACATTCATAAAAGACTATCATTGTTGCATTAGTTAGCTGAATTATAGTTAATGCAATATTTTATAGGTGAAACACATGTAAGTAAATTTTTTAAAGCAATAAACTAAAATAAACGATTTGTTTTGAAAATTGGCTTTATCAACAGTTTGAAAGTTGAAGAAGGATACCATGTCGAACATAGAAGAGTATTTTATTTTAAGTAATGAAGATTTTAAAATTATTGAAAATGTAAATGAAATGTTAAATGATATGCACATGTATAAATTTCAAGAATTATCAAAAAATGATTCAAATTCTTTTTTCATTATGCAAAGTACTTTGTATTTACAAATGCTTGATTTAATTGTTCCAATTAGAGAAAGAGTTAAACATATTCAAATAGTTTTTAGCGGTAATAACAATTCTGGTCATTGGATTTGTGTTTATTACGATGGAGTAAGACTTTATATTTTTGATAGCCTTAATGCAGGGTGTTTGAATATTCACCAAATAGAATATTTAATTAGATTGCTCCCTTTTAAACCAACAGAATTTTTTGTAGATGTTGATCAACAACCGATTGGTACAGTTAAGTGTAAAGTATAATGCAATAGCATTTGCAACATCTGTATTGGTTAACAGTGTAAATTAAAAGATTAATTTATGAAACTGATAATAATATAATGAGCAAGCATTTGATATCAGTTTTTGAAAACAATTAATTAAATAATTTTTCGGCAGTTAGAATGTCTAATATTAGGATTTCGATTTGTAGAGAATGATTGGAATTGTCTTTTCATAAATCGAGCTAAAGAAGTTCAAAATGGTGAACTAAACCTTTCATATTTTTTAAAGACTTTTCCCAGTAAAAATGACAACAGAGTTCTGTCTACTGAAACTGAGAATGAAAAGAAAATACCCAAAGAAAAAAGTTTGTCCTGTAAGATGAAGAAATTATCTACAGAAATTGAAGAGGAATTTACATGTTGATGTAAATTCAGTATGCACAACAGAAAATAATAAGAAAATAATTTCTAGTCTTATTGTTAGGAAAAATTTTGATCCTATGACATATCCTACAATGTTTCCTTATGGTGATCCTGGATGGACTGTTAACCTTAAGCATACTCAAGGTACTTGTAATTTTATTCATTTACAATTTTATATGTATCGTCTTTCATAAAGAAGAAAAAAGCGTGGATTGACACATGTGCGTTTAACTATTTGTTTACGTACACAAATTTGCGATTCAGAAACTTTAAATAAAATGATATGTGCTTAAATCACAGACGAAATAAAGAATCCAGAACTTTTTAACATTGTAAAGCGATTTTAAGTTCATGGGCCTTGTGGTAAACAAAATAGGAATTCACCCTGCATGGATCCTGAGATGGGTCATTTAAATGTATTGCTGACAATTCGACGATCGTAGCATTGTATAATCTTTATTTGAGTACAAAATTTAAAGGTCATATTGACTGGGCAATAATAGGTATTATATTATTATAACACCATAATGTTGAAATAGTAATACAGTAACGATTACAAAAATAATATTATTATTTTTGTGAGATCAAAATTCCAAAAAGTGTCCGTCAAATAAAAATAAATTTTTAATTTTTCATAAAAAATTGCAGATATCTCGCGTGTTTACGCGCGTTTCTTTTAGCTAGTTTACATTAAATTATAAGCAGTAAAACTTTACACTATTAATATTTAAAAGAAAACATACTTATATTAATGTACTTAAAATATTTATAAAACCTTAAAGAATTATATAATAATTCTATCATTTTATGATGTAGAATAAATTGATTTATGTTTCTAGTAAATAATAATATCTAATAATTTATAGTTTTTGAGTAATAATTTTTCTAAAAAACTGCATCATTTAAAGTTACTAAATGACAACGTGAACCTTCTACTTTATTAATAAACTAGCAAAATATGCCCGCTATAGCGCGCATATTTTACTAGAAAAGAACGCTGCACTTGTGAGAATGAGAAACAAGAGCAGTATATTGGATTCTGCAGTACTTTTATGAAAGCGAGCTGTTGCTTTCTTATTGAGCAGCTTGATTTTATACGAGTCATAACAATTTATTAATTTGTTAGACATTTTACCTTTTGATGTAATGATTTTATTAACGTCTATCATTGGAGCAAGATCAAATATACTCAAATATACTCCGACATATTGTGGGTGAAATGTACATGTGAAAATACGCATGAATACCAAGTTTCATTTATGTAGGTCTTAATATCTCAAATTGGGAAGGGAGACCAAGTTTCATGAACGGACGATGCGATC